ATTTCCTTCGCCTAACTGATATCTTGTCACAATCACAATGTTAAAATTTCTTAAATGTGAAATGAATCACAGCATGGTGGTACAGTGGTTAATGGCTTGACTTCTACCTCTGGGACAAGTTTTTAAGTCTCCACCCCAGCTCTATGTGGGGGGTGGTTGTATGTTTTCTCTGTATCATATTGGGGTTTCCTCCAGGATCTCCAATGTCTCTCCACAGCCCAAAAACATGAGAAGATGAATTGGAGCTGCAAAATTGCCTGTGTGTGTATGAGCCTTGCAATGGGTCGGCCTCCCATGCTGGGCTAATCCCTGCCTTGTGATTTACATTTTATAAATGATATAAACTAGATGTTAGGGAACGTGTTTGTCCATTAACTTTTACTATAAACAAATGAACATTTAGCACTGGAATACAGAGGAAACAAGATCTTTTTGTGTTTTTTTTATTTTTATTTCTTGACTGGTCAGTATAAAGTGAGATGAACAACAATGTAAAATTTGCTTTTCTTCCATAAAGTAATTCTTCCTTCAGACAGTCCTTCTCTTTCAGTTAGTCAAGCATGCAAATATTTTTATTTCCCCTTATAACAGTAAGGACAATACCAGTATGCAAGAATATGTGTATTCTGTTTTACATACATCGTTCTGTGTACACCAGTCCAGAACGTTCTATTTGATAAAGTAGATTCAGAAGCACAAAGAGTCATTTTAACAGGGACAGAGAAACAGAAACCCTACAGACTCACAGAGACCCGGTAATGGCAAATATTGGCATTTTTAATAATCATATTTCAAGCTTTTTTAAAATATACGTTCTGATTTTACTAAGGAATATTAAGATATTAAATGTTCATTTATTTCACACTTTCACACATATACACATACAGTAGCTTTATGTTTATAGAATAATATAGAATAAGCTACTTCTAAAACATTTTTAATCAGCATATATGGAATGTTTTATGGCAATTTGGAAATAGTCCTTTGTTAGTCTAAATGTTATTTACTCCACAGAACACTCTATTATATATTATATATATCTGCATTTTAAGTTAATTATTTTTCGTGATAATTCTAAAGTGATTTAAATTGGTGCAGGAGCTGCCCATCCAAGCTGTATGTGTGTGGAGCTTGCAGGTTCTCAATACTGTCCGTAGGTGTGAATGTATGTGTGAATGGTGTGTGTGTGTCCACTTCCATGGGTTGGCTCCCCATCTTGGGTTATTCCCTGCCATGCTCCTATTATTTCTGGGATAGGCTCTGGAACCCTGAATCCCAGTACAGGATAAAGCAGTGTAGAAAATGAATGGACTCTAATGAAATTACATGGATAATGTGTAGGTTGGTAAGCTTACTTCATTGGTCTCCAAGGGAGAAATTACTTTTCTGCTGCTAGTCTAGATACATAGAGCAAGTGTAACAACCATATTGTGTAGTATATAATATAATAAATGCAATGCATAAGATGTCCACACACTCTCTAGCAAAAAATGGGTTTGGGGGCTTTTCCCATAAATTTACTTTTGACCAATGCAGACACTTTTGCTAGTAAACTTTTGCAAACTTAATTGATTTGGAAAAAAATAAAGAAAAGAATAGCAAAAAACTGATCAATTACTTGAATCCAGGCTGCATTTTCAACTGAATATTTATAGCACATTGTTTTTTGTACCTGTTTAGTGTGATTTCTGCATCCGTATATCTTTGGAAAGCTTTTCAATATTCAAGTTGTTTGATGATCCATCCATTCATCTCTGAATTTTCTATGTTTGCTGTTTATTTTCTCTTTTTTGGACATTTTGCTAGCAAAAGGTAGATAACGTGTATTGATCTATCAATGTCTCTGTGTCACTTTCTTTGTTAAATGATGATTTTTTTATGAGACACAGCAGTCTACACTAAATATACTATATACAGCTATGGATAAAATAAGAGACCACTTCACATTTAAAAAATATATTTTTGAATCCTGGTTTAATCCTGGTTCTGTTTGCAGAAAGCTACACAGCAGGTTGCTTCCAGGCTCAAAATTTTTAGTATAGCAGTTACACAAAAACATGGTGAAGCAGGAGACACTGGCCAATGACCAAAAACCAGGCCGGTAGAGCACAGAAGCAACTTTCTAATGCCAGGGATGACCAGCAACTTATTTGACAGTTTCTCATGAATCATCGTTTGACATAAAGTGACCTTCAAAAGGGATGGGAAATATTAAGTGCAGGTATGAGGTGCACTGCTAGGACAGTTCGGATCAAGCTCCTAGAAGCAGGACCGAAGTCCCACAAAAGCAAGGAAGAAGCCCTTCATCAGTAAGAAACCGACAGCACAATTACAAACCAACACAATAGCTACCGACAGCTATTTACAAAGCTGGTATCAGTCCAACCTCCCGTGCTGCCCTCCGGTACCCCAGTGCTACAATATTATTATTCACAGACACGTACCCATAAATAGAGAAATTTGTGAAACAAAAAATTTGTGCTGTGGTGTCATACTTTTTCCAGAGCTGTGTATGAAAGCTGAGAACGGCCATGCTTGCAATTGTTTTTTAATGCCGTTATCTCGAGATCACGTTTAGCTTAAATATGTGAACATTGGGGCACTACCTGGATCACTCTGCTGTCGTGGCTGCTGCAGTATGGATGTGAAAGGAGAATTAATATGGTCAGCAAGTTTGATCTTCACCAGCCATTATTTTCTTTGTAGAAGTTCACATTACTGTAAATATGACTGAAAACCCCTGCTCTAGAATGTACATGTGCCATATTTCCTATAATACAGAGAATGAGACTAAGGTCAGTTCATTCAGATCACAGGGCAGGAGGCATTACAGCGACATGTGGCAGCTGGCAGGAAGGAGCCAGAGAAGCTGCTTTGTGAAAACTGTACTTACTGGGACTTTACATGCATAAATGTAATGACAGGCATGGGGTGGCCAGAACAGCCATTCAGTTATGATTCATAAAGCCAAGAAGCAGGTGATCAAAGGAGTGGGGGCTGCCACTGAAATCGGTATGTTTATATTACTTTAAAAATGGGTGGAAGCAATACCAGACAAATATCCTTTCTGACTGGGTCTGTCAGTTGAGGATGTACACACAGCATGTGAGACTGTATGTCTATGTGCCTGAGTGCCTGACTGAGACTCTTATGAACTCATCTCTGTGTTTGAAAAAGAACAAGTTAGGTTTTCAGGTTTAAAGGTTAAACTTTTAGATTTTCACATCTGTATTTCTTTTAAACTGCAAAAATATTTTTTAAACCTGTTGGTTTTTATTATTGTATAATGGGAAATAAAAGGAAATCCATACAAACAGAGCTACGCATAGTGTGTGTGTGTGTGTGTGTGTCTGTGAATTAGGTTTAAAATTCTATTTCTTGACGTTATGGGGACCATTTTTCAAGTCTCCACAAAGATCTATGAATGCTATCAAAAAAGTAAAAATGCCAAAAGTATTTTGTTTGGTTACTTATAGTTAAGTTTAGTGCTGGGTAGGGGTTAAGGTCATCATGTTGCTAGTAGAGTTTTCCCCATAGAAATGAATGGAGAGTCCCCACAAAGATATAATTACAAACCTGTGTGTATATGTGCTCAAATGTATGTTACATGATCAGTACCATAATCAATGTTTTCTGCAGCCCATTGGATCAGCATGATGCATGATCTTCTATTGAAACTTCTACTGATTAAAGGTCAGTTTCTTTCATATTGCACTTAAATTATATACAGTGGTACCTCAGAACTTGAACTTAATCTCTGGATCGAATCCTAAAAAGTTTGAGTTCTTGTCAGATCAGGTTTATATTTATCTATTTGTGATCATGTGTATTTGTTTCTCTCTGCCTGTGTGACTTTTTTTACAGAGTTTTACAGTCACTGTTTATGCTTTTTGCATCAGTACCATTTTGTAAACATAAACTTGACCTGGACTGACGCCCAGGCTTACTGCAGAGAGAACTACACTGACTTGGCTACCATTGACAATATGGAGGAAATGAAAAGACTAGCAGAAAGTCTAGCTGTAGACTCTGCTTATACTGGGGAGGCTTGGATAGGACTAAAGAAAGGAACATCATGGAGATGGCAGTGGTCCTCAGCAGAAGGAGGGACTGGGTACATCAACTGGAATATAGGTCAACCAGACAACTGGAATAATAATGAACACTGTACCGAAGTCCAAGACAATGGTGGATGGAATGATCTTTCCTGTTCGTTATCGACTCAGACGTCGTATTTCATCTGTTATACTGGTGAGTAACATTAACCAGTTCTTTTCTGACAAATGGAACATGCCTTTGAAAGTGTACCATCCAGCCATGACTTACTCCATAATAGCTTTGACAGGTAAAAAAGAACTACAGCCTAAATGAGAGAACATTCTATTTTGAATATTAGATTAGATGAGCTTCTTTAATACCAGAGGGAAATTCTTGTGCATTCTTGTGTTAAAATTGGGACAGTGTGAATCAGGACTTCATCATCTTGCTCATTTGCCTTCCTCTGACGGCCCCTGGAGGATGGGCTCCCTCTTTGAGTCTGGTCCCTCCCAAGGTTTCTTCCTTCAAGAGAGGTTTTCCTTGCCACTGTCACCTCTGGCTTGCTAACTGGAGGCTCTGGGTGGGGATACTGTGAAGTGCTTTGAGACAATGTAATGTTGTGAAAATTTACTATACAAATAAAATTGAACTGAACAGCATACAGGAGCAAATATGTTGAGCACATGCAGCGTGAAACAGACTAGATGCAAAGACATTTGACCATGCAAACAAGTAAATGTAGTGCAAACAAATTAAAAAGTACACGACACAAATAGGATCCTGAAAAAAACTGAGAATTATGGAATATTAATGAAATAAATGTTAGGAAAAAGTAAAAATAAACTATGGCAATGTGCAATTAAACTATGGAATTGAAAAACAGACGACACCAGCCTTTCTCTATTGCCAAGATGGCTGCTTCCTGACGTGTCATTGCTGGGGTGGGGAGTGACACATACAGGAGCTTTGGGGAGCTGCAGAGGTAGCAGGGTTCTTCTGAGCCATACCAGGCTGGGCAGTGTGTCATAAGTGGCCCTGATGAGGAAGCTCAGACTTGCCTGGGCTGAGCTCCACATCTCCACCCAGGAAATGGTTCTGCTGGTCACAGCATCCCAGGTGGACCATTTGCCGTGCTGTTGTTGGCTCACTGCTGTAACTTTGTAGTGCTCCTCATCCATTTTGGTCACCTCGGAGATGATGAGATCTTTCCTCTCCTTCTTATTGGCTTTAGACCATCTTAGCGCTGGTGCTCTCCATCCTGATCCAGCTCTGCCAGGCTGCGTAAAGCCCACGATCTCCTGGTGTTTCAGCCTCTCTGTGGCCATTTCTACTGCTTGTGCTACATTCCACTTTCGTCCAGTCTGGACTTGTACGTCTGCATTTCGAACAGACAGGTCTGGCGAGTCTCTTAGCTCGTAGAGGCTGTGGGGGGGGGGGAGCCATTTCCTGATGTAATTGTTGGCCTTTGCTTCCAGTTTCAGGACTGTTGTCATGGTGATCTCGCACAGCTTCAGTGGCCACATATTTAAAAAGATGATAAAAACAAACTCACTATAGTAAAAAAAAACAAAGATAAGAAACACATACTGTATATGCTGTAGCAGGCAGCCACTCAAGGCATTGCATACAGATTATGGCATACAGATTATGGCATACAGATTTTGGTGAAGGTTGACTTTCAATGGTTTTGCCCTGCAGATATCTCCATAAGGCAGCAAAACAAGTAAATGTAGAATTGCTTATAGATTTTAAGGGAATTAAAGAAACACTGATCAACCAGGAGTGCCACCTGACTGCCTATAATTTATGGACGTCAAAGCCAGCCTCCCATTTTAGAATCAGGGAGAATTAAAGTTGATATGTATGTAATAGAGTAAGTATTGTGCCAGCATAAGAATCAATATTCTCACATGACTTGTTAAGTTTTAAATGATAAACATTAATGATGGTGTTTTGATATTTCAGTTGAATGTCAGAGTGAGATTTGTTCAGCAAAGGCTGGTGTTTGACTTAGTGGGTTAGGACACTGTATCTGTGATCAGAAGGTCACTGTTTCAGCTCCCAGAATGATGGCAGAATGATTTCACCACTGGGCCCCTGAACAAGGCCTTTAATCCCCAATTAATCTAGACTGTCAGATCCGGCTCTTTCAAAAAATGTATGTAACTTTGGATAAAACCATCTGCTAAATAGGTTACATGTAAATGACTTTGGTTTATTGCGGTTTCTTATGCTGTTTACAACAAATCCACAGCTCCCACCTGTAAAGACGGAATAAATGCTACCTGGAACTTCACCTTCATTAACCAACATATGAATTGGTCTGGTGCTCAGAGCTACTGCAGACACAGTTACACAGACCTGGCCACTGTGAGGAATAAAGAAGATAATGCCTTGATACATACAATGGTTACAAGTGGCACTTGGGCATGGATTGGCCTGTTCCAGGACACATGGGAATGGTCAGACCTGTCAAACTCCTCATTCCGTAACTGGGAAATTGGTCAAAATGATAATGTGGGTAACACATGTGCTTTAGCACAGGTCACCTGGCCTGGGACATGGGATATGACACCATGTGTTGAAAAGCATCCATTCGTATGTTATGATGGTGAGTAATGTAACTTTACTACAGTGGTTGAGACCAGGGGTGGAAGTAATGAATTACAACTACTCACGTTACTGTAATTAAGTCGTTTTTTCCGGTAGTTGTACTTTTATGAGTATATTTTTAAGTCTGTAATTTTACTTGTACTTAAGTACAAATTAAAGTAAGGAATCTACTTTGCTACTTTTAAAATCGCAATTCATTCCTGAGTACTCCAACAATTTAAATTAATATTCAAACTTTTCACCGGCATTTCGGTAGCCAATGAAGGTATCCGATGGCAAACGGACCAATGAACCCTGATATCTGGATTGGAAAAAAGCACCCGGCCCCACTGCAGCACGTTTTGATCATAATTGCACAGTGAAGGAGCTCGGAGTAATCTAAGGACTGAAGGTCTGGAGAAACAAACTTCATGGAGGACAGCAACATTCAAAACAGTGAAAATGACCAAGAAATACCAGAGGATGAGTGTCTCTGGCTGCACTTGGGGGAGCTGTTCACATACAGAGGGAGGAAAGGAGACAGCGTGCTAATGCAGTGCAAACTTTGTTTGCCATCTGTGGTGATTTCGGCATACCAGACTTCAGCCTCAAATCTCAGAAAGACTCTGTGAACTTTGAAAATCAGCTTTTGCTGAAACTTAACAAAAGGTTCATAAAGTGAACTGTCCAAGACATATTTATGTCCAAGGCTTTAAGGCCCTTGCCCAACTGTTTGTTTGCTGTGCTCTGGTAACATTTATTACTACAGGCAAAACTCCTGTTTAATGTTTATTTTCAGAAATTTCCTGAATTTGATGCATTGATATACTTCTTCAGTAATGTAGAAATGTTTGAAGTAGCTATTTTCTACATGGTTCTCCAATTTGATTCAGTGGTTATTGATAATTCATAAAATATCAACGGCTAAAAAAAGGAACTAGTAGTTTGAGTAGTTTTTGAGAAGAGTACTTTATACTTTAAATTAAGTACTTTTTTCACACTAGTACTTTTACTTGTAATTGAGTAGTATTCCAGCAATGTAACAGTAACCGTACTTAAGTACAAATTTCCAGTACTCCTTCCACCACTGGTTGAGACTCACCTTTATCTAACAGCATTAATTTATATTACTTTAAAAATATTAAACTAATATACTAAGTTATAATCAGTGTTATAAGTACACATAACACTGTAGTTGCATCAGAAGTTTTGTCTACACTGTTTTGTGAATTTCACTCCCTCTACCCTTCTGGTAATAAATTCCTTTCTCCAAGTTTCCAAATGTCACCTGACAATCATCTTACCTTCTGCCCCAGATAACCTGATATTGGTAAATAGTAACATGGCCTGGAATTAAGTTTTTGTGAACGTTTTGAAAATAATTGATACAGTACATTTTGCTAATGATTAATGTTTAAATGAATGCATATTAGGGGTGCAACGATT